GAGAGTGAGGTGGGTGTCCGAAGGGCTAAGGTAGCAGTTGTAAGATTTCAGTGCTTGTGGAGACCAGAATCCGGGCGGTTGAATAGGAGCAGAGTGTATGATACTGTGAGTGTATGACAATCAAGGACAAAGCCCCCGAAAGTTTAAGATTTCAAAAGGTGTATATGTGATCACTAGTGGCCACGTCGGACTACCTGTAAGTGGTAAGAACGTATGGTGATGACTGGTGGCTGGAAACAAGATCTGACCCTCTTTTTGAACAGCAAGATAAACCTGTCCGGTGCTACCGGGCACACATGTTGGAGAATTTATCTATAGAGGAAGTAAATTCGCCAGGTGATAGTGCAGCGAAGAAGCATGGAACAGCTTGACGAAAGTGAGTCGCAGTGATGCGCGGTACGGTTACGGATGATGTTAAAACTCCTAAAGGTTTTCCACATATCCAGAGAAGCTCACTTGCATTAACATAATTAAGTATAACTTCATCACATCTAGACTCAATCAGACAGCCATCACAAGTCCGGAACAACACTGCACGGTCGTTTCATGTTTTGGGAATTGTCAGCAGTGCGCATCTGAGCGAAAAAGTGGAGAAAAATTCAATTTTTTTGCTTTTAATATCATGAATTACTATCGTCGGGATATGGGGGAAAGTAGAAAAGGAGCAACCTTAGATAATATGATAGTCACCCACAGCATATATCTGTGGGCGAAGACAACTACCCCACCCAAGCAAGTGGTGGCTGTGTTAAGCAACATAATTACAAATCCCGAGGAATGAGGAATAAGAAAGCAGAACTGAAATAAGCGTTGTCCAGTTTCCACATTCAGAGTATTTGAATTTTTTGAGTTTGTTTTCTCAAGGGAGGGAACGTGATCACAGCAACATGCTGATGCACACCTGTCACATCGGTCTTGAAGCATGACCTCCTGTATCGCCAGCAAGCGACGCTCTGAATTCTTGGAATCCCAACCAGAGTTCAGAACAAGGATAGGGGCCATCTGTTTCATGTCGCGTCTCCAAGTTGTAGGCTGTCCACCATCCTGTTTAATCCAGCCTTGTCCAGCAACCGCGAACAGCGCACGACGCGGAAGATGCTGAACGGGCATACGCAATACGTGTCCAAGCCAGCGCAGATGACAAAGTGAGACGAGATCCTAGAGCGAGTAGCTGCATCCTCTCAAGACACGTTGTCCAATTTCCACATTACTTACGGGCAGTGGATAACAATCAATACAGCTGGAAGACCGACAGTCAGCGCAGGTTAACAGTACGAGCAGGTCAGGTCTTGTATTCATACAATGGTAAGCTACGGACAGTCGCACAATAGAGCCGCCATTGAGGGACGAATGCCGTGGTGACGCCACAAGTGCCTCAGTCTAAAGAACATGTGACGAGCGCTTGAGATGTGCATCGGAACCTCGTCTCCGGTAGTAAAGCGCCTTCCCAAGTAGAAAAAACTCTACTATCTTTAGTGCCTTACCAACAAGGATGAGTGCGTGCATACGCGATTGCCAGTCATGATAGAGTTTTGCACATAGATGGGGAAGAGTGCACTGCATAATTTGATACCTCAGTCACCAAACGGTTACCTGCAGTTTTGACGGCCTGTGATCTGTCACCAAGGAAGACGATAACACAGTATTTCAAATCAAAAACTTGACTACTAGGAAAGGCTCAACATCTGCATGTAACGAGTTTTTCAGACTATTTTGAGGATATCCACAAGGACAAAGTTGATGAAGGGTGAAGAGAGATGGCATCCTTGTCGAACCCAGCTGGTGACAACAAAGGATGATGAAAGCTTGCCATAAAGCCTAACTCTATCCGAGGTCAGACTATGCAGAGCACGTAGTACGGAAACAAAGTTCGCGGGTAAGCTTATCGATTGACCCAAAGACCATGGAACTTCATCGTTTGGTCAGATTTTTGAGAACAAAACGGTGAGTTCGCGAACCAGCGAACAGCCGTGGTCTTTAAAGAAAGCGGGAGGTAGACCATCATGCCAGGGAGAGTTAAAACGCTTTAAGAGGCGGATTTCTTGGTGAAAAGAAAGATATGTGGGGATAGACCACTTAGCAGTAGTGCACAAGCCAGAGGAAGCAGATAGAGCTGGCGTGCAGCAAAACTGCGAGTCGAAATGTTCAACCCATTGCCGTAATCGTTGTTGAAGAATTGTGATTAAGGAGCCATCAGCTTCGCAGATTGTTTCACTCACACCAAATCGGATATGTTCGATGAGATGGAAAAGTTATCTGGTAGTACCAAGGAGACTAGCAAGTTCCATCTCTGCTACGTTAAGAAGGGCTATTAATGTCGCCACGGTTAGTCTGTCAGTTGAAATTAACTGTCTAAACTAACAACGAACGCTAGGTCTGTTACTGACGGTTTCGTGAGTAATTTGAGGACCTGCGGGCATGCCGAGTTTCCGTACGATGAAAATGGATAAGGATTTCGCTTAGTCAAATGAACTACTAGGGGGATCCTCAGCTTGCGGCAAGATCATAGTTCGATCAACAAGCCTATCCCTACACAAGCTTGCAACTGGTTCGGATATGTGAAGGTGCGAGATGTGATGGCGGAATGATATGAAAGAGTGGAACAAGGATGAAATAAGCGGATAGCTCCAAAACTCACATGGGCGCCGCGTTAAGGCTTATTATCAACTGGCTTTCTAACTAATATTAGTATTTTGCTTAAGCAAGACATCAATTTACCCAGTGAATGTGTCCTGTGAGTAACAAATAGTGATGACCGCGAAGAATGGTTGCGCAAGTGGAACAACATGTCACCCATGCATTCCATGCTTAAGTAGTCTGGTTGGATGTTATTAATGCATTCGTTGTTGTGCGGTTGCAAGCGGTGGTGCGAGGATTGGGATACTGTCAAGTCGCCAAAACACAGATAAGGGGAGAAGTCGAATCTGACTGAAATACTAACCCACGAATCGATGAGCACTAAAAGCCACTTAGCATGCTACGATGAATTTTGCGAGGAACTGAACCAGGACGATAGCGAGCCGCAACGAGACACCAGAACATCACAGGATTAACAATGCCCAAGGTTTGTTCTCCTGAAGTCCAAAGAACCGAAAGTGAAAGTAAAATCATCGAGAGACTGGAAAAGATTTTGGTAGATAAATACGCGAAAATAAGCCCGTTTCTGCTTATGTCGGCTGTTGCTTAAGTGATGGAGGACGCCAGTTGAGCGAGTTCATCCATTGTTTGTTTAGAAGTGGAGTATTTGTCCTCTGGAGCGTGTAGCGCTACAAGAGAATTACTGCGCAATCGCCGCGCGATTTAGGCATTCGACACACTATCGGAACTGATTTGTTGAGTGGGCTGCGGAAACGAAGTGAAGATGATAGATGCTAAACGGAACGCGTCACATGAGATCGAGACCGAAATCGATCTGTGAAGTAAAAGAACAGACAAGCCATATCAGGGTAAACAACGCTTGCAGCCAACCAGCTAGTAAGTGCTGCATGAGGGTGGCGATGGACAAACAGCAGAAGTATCCATGCCCATCGCCATAGCAACAAAAGACAAAAACGATGAGAAAAGAGGGAAAAGTCAAAAGAAAAGCAAAATTTAGCTGAAATAATGCTGGAGAAAAATTGGAATGATTATAACCATTCTGTATACTTATGCGGAGACAAATGACCATGAATGAAATACGCTCAGAGCAATGAGGAGTTCTAAATTGTGTCAGATTGGATAAGATTTCCAGTTTCTGTGATGACCGATTGCGAAGGAAAATTACCCCTGACACCTTTAAATGTTACAGCCTGTTTACAACGAAGCTACTACGAAGCGACTCGGTGTGGCCAAGCGACACATGCTGATGCAGCCGAACAATGTTACCCAACCAGCGGATGCCAGCTGGATCTCACAGACGGTCCAGTCATCTAAAATGTCGGTCGGTGGCCGAGTGGTCTGCGCGCTTGGGTTGCAACCACAAGGTCTTTGGTTCGAAACCGCGTAGGAGTGGGCGTCCACGCGGTATACTCAGCCCACGCGCTGCTAGTGGTGGTCGCGTGGCAGTGAAGCGCCGTTACGACGTAAAGCCGTCAATTTCGCTTTTATTTAGTCATCTAAAATCACGTCAAACAATCAAGAAGGAACACGAATGCGCGCTTATACCAATGTGCCAATGCGCAGTCAGAGTCCGCAGCCGAACACACAGTGAAGAGCATGATGGGCCTACGCAGATGAAGCTGGCTTCGAGCATGAACACAAACTTAGTGTGACGACGGCGTCCATGGTTTAAGCAAAACAAGCGCTGATGCTGCATAGAACAGGACTTCATAAGAGCAGAGAGAATGTGCGCGTTACACAACAAAAGGAATATAAATGAATCGGTGCTCACGTGTAGCTTGTCTTTGGCGATTCGTTCGTCGTCAGCCCATTTGTTCAACTCCGACAATCGACTCTCCCAATTTTTGATACTGTCTTCCAGGTCCGCGTAGCTGGATCGCAGCGAAGCCAACTCCCGAAGAGCGGATGTCTAAATGAACGAAAGTGAGTTGGAATTATACAGATGCACAGGAAAACCGAAGTGTCCATGCTCCTATGAAGTCCCTTATTCGGTCATCGACTACTGGCAAGTCCAGTTATCTTAACACAGTCTAGTTTAGTACCTGCAAGTGACGGAGATTTTCGAAGTATTTTGAGACCTGTCAGTGCAAAATGCATTAAGACTGCCGCTACGCCTCTGGAAAGCCGTTCCGTTCCACCAGGAACGCATTAGCAATGTGCATCTCCCTAGAATCCCACGAATCGCGGCCGACTGCTATACTTTTACGAAATTGTGTTTCAAGGCACTGAACCATGTATGATGGTGCTGGACCTACATGACTGGCTACTGCCTGTGACATAGCGTCTAGCATTCTGCACTGTCATGTCCGTTTCTGTAGTGAAGCAAATAGAGCTGGCCAAGATAGATGCGAGTTCTCGTGCTACATGAGTGTTGAACTGAATGAAACCGAGATGAACGCCTCAAAAACAGCACAGTTTAGTTTATTAACTGAAATTCGCAAAAACGAGTTGCTCAATCTCACATCACCGCAAAAGAAAAACGATGGATAGTGAGACAAAATTAAGAATCAGAGAAAAGAGGACAGATTTGATAGAGATTGAAATAGCTGCATGAAACGACAAACTTAAAAACTAAGAATCGAGAAAAGAAGTCGGTTTGGTTTATCACAAATGAGGGGGTATTTTTACACAGGAGAGGTACAAAAACCCGAAGGAAAGAAGAAACAACAAGCATCACAAAGACTAACGCGATCGATGAGTGCTGCTTCCAGCTGCTGCTCAGCTAATTCACGTTCGCGAGCCCATTCCCGTAGTTCCGATTGGCGTGTCAATTTCAACGTCTGAAGCTCACGTCTGCAGTTGGCTAAGCACTCAGTGGTCAATTGGAGTCGTGACTCGATCTCGCGAAGTTGCTCGCGGGCGTCCATCTCTGGTGAACCCTTGCCATTTTCATTGACTCCATCTAATAAGGCCGGAGTGCTGGAAAAACCTTTTCCGTCCGATTTCAAAGTTAGTAATGGGTCCGAATTCACATACACATTGTCACGATCGTACTGGCGAAGGGAAGCCAATTCGGACTGAATTCGGGCAAAATCAGTCAGTAGCTTTTGAGAGAGGGGAGAAACAGAAGCACAGAAAAGATGAGTGAACTGATTGTGCAACCTGTGGTGTTCGGGATCCAGACAAACTAGCCAAGTGCAATAGTGCCAAATAAATGTCTCGCACAAACTCGTGGGCACGCGCGCTAAGACGAACAAATAGAAGCTTTAAGTAAACTCAGTAATTGAGATCACTCCCTGTGTCCGTGCGCATGAAAAATTTTGATAAAACGTTAAAACAGACAACAAAAACATTTGTGGAGGCTCAATTTGAAGTACACGTTGGGTGGATGGGTTACGACGTGCAAACTTAAAGTGGACCGCGATTCCAATTAAAGTGAACCTTGGCCATTAGGTCACTAGGACCGTAGCTCGAGATGTACGTAAACTAAAAAAGACAAGACATATAGAGGATGTTGAGCCTCTCACTACGAAGTAGAGACTGCACCCTGATCAATATAGCAGAAGACTACAAGGGAAATAGATGGAAGTAAGCGGCACCCAATTGCTAGATCGCTCATCAATGTGTCACGGGATACCCGCTGTTACAGAGACTACCAGTGGCTAGTGCAGTACCCCTGATAGCACCATAGGGAAAATGCGCATTTAATATGAACTCGAAGGAATAATACTGAAGCGGTTGGGTGGAATTCCGATTGTCCTGGGGTAAATACATACATCATTAATACGCGTCGCTCATGTGCGAGAAGTAAAATATGTCTGACAATACTCTAAGAATGTGAAACTGATAATGAGACCGAGCGCAGAAGCGGTATATATCAGAAGGAAATAAGTTGATATACGAGCACCAAACGCGTGTAAGACCGGTGTTCAGTGATCATTCACTTGTGTGGAACAGGATAAAGCGCACGCATCAAGAGTACAGTGGGAAGTTGCTGGGCGGAAAGTACGCTGCTGTGAAGGGGCAGCAGTTAGGCTGGATACATTTACGAAAACTTTGTAACACTCCCAGCGACTAATAGTGGCCATTTAAAGACAACAGCAGCAACTAACAACAACAACAACAACAACAACAACAACAACAACAACAACAACAACAACAACAACCGAGACGGAGGCATCGGATGAATGGACATGGTGTAAGCGTTCGCAGCTGCGCCGCCGAATCTGACGTATTGTTCGGGGCTACATGTCACGCATGTAACAACAAGCGGTTGGTGTTACAACCCCAATTCAACTGCGGCGAAGATGTTTCATACGTGCCAGATTAACCATATAATGCACAGGCATGAACGTGCCTCAAGTGTATCGCAGACAAAGTCGAAAAGACAGCTAGATATAACAGAGTTCGATAAAAAGAGCGGGTCACAAGACGGCAACCGTAGATACATTAGTGATCGCCTAGGTAGCTTGAAGGAAACAATCTCCAATACACACGGTCAGTGTCTATTCCCGCCACAGCAAATGCCGCTGGAGACAGACCCGTAATGCATGCGATGACTTTTCCGAAATGAGCGAATCACAAAATAAAACGCTATCGGCAAATAGCTCCCCCATACAATATACCTGATGATCTAAAAGCTGGGCAAAATTGTGCGAGAACAGGAGTAATTAAAGTTGCCGACGCGACAGAACAATGTGATTGAAATCCTAGTCACATCAACAATGCCGAAAGTAGAAGAAACGTAAACCGCACTATGATGCGACAAACTTATGACATGCCGGCATCACTTAAGACAATCAGAAGGAGTAATGCATTCCGTTAATGGCCGAATACTAGTGACTGAAAGTGGAGGTGAGTATGGTGGAGGATAATCAAGCAAGGAGTGCAAAAGCCACGTTGTCCAATCGGAACTGATAACGCATTCAGAGAGTGCACAATATGGCCGCCTGAGGTCGTTCACAGGAAAACGTTAAAGCTTTGAAAGTAATCAAGAGTGCACCGGACTTCATCGTGGCGCAATGGCCAAAATAACCTCATGATCCACTGAGCAGGAACAGATGTTTATCCCTAAGGCAACCCAAACAGGACAATTCAATGACGGGAGATAAGACAAACACAACCAAAGCATTCGCTTTCCATGACGGTGAAGTTAAAGCATGAGAGAATATAAGTTGCGCGATGCAATATAAACTCGATGGGTGCAGAGCATGAGCATGGGAGGATACAACAGTTTAAGCGAAGCAAAGATAAGGAGGATCTTTAGCAAAGCAAATATTCCCACTAAAACAATAAAATCAAGACCAAATGAGTGTCGCGTTGAGAATCCTTTTTGAGTACTCTCATCGGACTTAAAGGTTTATATAGCAGAGGTTAGTTGTTAGCGTCAAGTAGGGCTAGGAAATTGATTTCTTAGTCGTCTGAACAGTCAAACCGGTAGCTTAGGGCAGGGCCATGGGTCACCAAACTACGGCCCGACGAATGCACCCAGTTTGCTTGATAAAGCGCATAGAACCCTAGGCGGAGTTACATTTGACACTACGTGTCGTATTGCTAATGACTGTACAGCGATTGGACCGTAGCGTGAGCCAGCTCATTGTTGTTACATGTGACAATGTACTGCCGTATTACTAGTGACCTCACATCATCGGAAAATTGATGGGAGCGATCACACATACAACCCACTAATTCGTGTAACCTACTGGGTTTCCGTTTACCTCGCACCAATGAAGCGCAGTTTCCGGTTAGCTAGTTCCCTTGATGCACGTGCCATAAAAAACACTGCGTATTAAAGCGTTGTTGGTTTGCACGTGTCATTTGGAAGCCAGATTTGCTCGCTATTAGGGACGAATTTCAGTTTGTTGATAAGGAAGCGCAAATTGTAGAGGTAAATTCATCTTGGAAATTGACAAATGCATGTAAGTAGTACCGTTATCCAGTTCCATACCTGGTTATTAATTTGATTCCGTTAATAAAGCTCTCCTCAAGCCTTCTAAAAGCTTAACAGCTTGCATAAATGGTTGGTGACACCCGTTTCCGGATTTACCTGTCACTGTGGCCTCCATAGAACAGCCAAAAAGACCTGCGCCTACAGAGGGAACATGGGTGGCTTGCGCTGCACCACCCACAACTCCATTCACACACCACATATTCAGTGTAAACCCGAAGGAATAAGACTGGGATGCATGTGGATGGGAACCACGTTTTATCAACGGAGCCCGCCCACATTCCTTCAACATGTACAGCAACAGCATTTCTGTCTATCCATGTTTGGAATCACGTGCACCAGACGTACACAAGGCGACGGCTGGGCCGTAGTCTGCTCCACACTGAATGCATTGAACCACACCTTGGGCCTAGCACGGCCACGAGGACTGTGTACCCCGACCCATCCAGCAACGACCAATCGTCTAATACAGCCAGTATGGACGAGGTAGTGGGTAAAAGACAGGTAGGCAACTTGTCAACATTCACATCAAGCGCAGACACACCGGGGATGTCAAACAACAACCAATCACATGAAATGACATCGAATAAATTATATCTGTTAACGCATACGATTACGCCGACATAACTCTTCGCTAAAGTAGCATATGAAGTAAGTTGGTTATCAACGAATCCGCGATAATTACATAATGTTCGGAAGTTATTCAAAAATGCCATAAACGCGATAAAGTTAAGGATGATAACTACAATATGCGTAAGCCACGAGTGCAAGTCAATAGATTTTCCAGGTAGGCAGAACAAACCAAAGGAAGTGGGATGATATTTATCCAGCTTAAAAAGACCAAGTTTAAGTGTAAGTTGATTTAGCCAAACTGCAGTGAAGAAGCATCATGAATGCAACACCATACTTAGCATATATATATATATATATATATATATATATATATATATATATCACTATACACGTTAGCCGCAGGTGGAAAACACCTCAGCTATTGTGCCGCAATACAAAAGACAAGAAAAGGAAAATAAACAGTGGCACGCCCGCTGAGTTCCCAGGAACGGATGGATCTCATTCCGGTGAGCTAGCAGCTGGCTATCGTGAAGTTAAGCGTCATATTATGCCTAACGAGTGAGATCGTGACTGGAGGGTGATGCTAAGCAGGGGGGGGGTTGGACAAAGGAACTTACAATACAAACGCCATTGGGGCCGGCTCCAAGCTATATCAGCATGTCCAAAACATCGTCCTTAGGACCCCAGCCAGGCAGTCGGGATACAACAACCGACGCCAACTTCGAAGTGAGGGTTTTCATTTCTCTCGACCAAGTCATCACTTGGCCAACCCTTCTCCTCTTCCAACCGCACCCACAACGCGCAAACAATGCATGTCGCGGGAGTCGGTGTGCTGGCATGCGCAACACGTGGCCCAACCATCGGAGCCTGGTGAGTGATATAATGGTGCTGAGTGGTTCACCCGCCCTTTTTGCACCAAATACGCGACGCCGAACACGCTCATTGCTCACGCGGTGTTCCCACCAGACATGAGCTAAGCTGCGAAGGCAGCGAGGATCGAATATGACGAGCCTCTTTATGTTGTCGACCTAATGGGCCAGGTTTCACAGCCATATAGGAGAGTTGAACGGACGGCTGCGTTATAAACTCTGCCCTTCAGGGCGAGAGTAATGTCGCATCTGCGCAACATGTGGCGGAGATTGGCAAAAGCATCTCGAGCTTTTGCTATACGGTTCGTAACCTCATCTTCAATCCCACAGGTGCTAATATAGCTGCCCAGGTACTTGAATTCCTTAACGACTTCTAGCAGATCACCACCAAGCGCTAAAGAAGGGTTGGGTCCCTGCCAATCTTGGAGAAGTACTTTGCATTTCGATGGAGCAAATCATAGCCCGAAACGATTGATAACCAGTGCTAATCGGTCCAGTGCAGCCTGGCACCTATGGGCGCTGTCACAGATTAGGACAATATCGTCCGCACACTCCGAGTCAAGAAGTCGCTCACCAGGAAGTAGCTCCACACCTTCTAGGTCGTGTCCAGCGAACGCTGTTTCCATGACTTCATCAACAGCGAAGTTGAAGAGGAAAGCTGACAGCGGGCAACCTTGTCTTACACCGCTGGTGATACTGAAGGGTGGCGACAGTT